CCACTGGGAAGAAACCTTTATTTTTTCCCCCCTTTTTCCCCCCCCCCCCCCCCCCCCCCCCCCCCCGCTTTTTTAAAAAAAACTCCAGTTTTTCGTTTTTTCCATCAATACTTTTTCAGCAACCTGTTACAGAAATAACAACATGCTATCCCAGGATCCTACAAAATATTCCACCACAGAGGGCAAACAGTCACTAAGACTAAATACTGAAGAGACTTTGGGCTGTGGATATGCCCAAGAGACTTGATGAAGGCTTGGATCTTGCTAAAAGGCAGATGAGAGAAAATGCTGGCCCATTTTTAAGTGCTCAGTGCTACTAAAAAGGAGATTCTTGGTTTAGCAAGGAACCCTAGGGCTTAGTCCCATCCAGATGTTCATAGTACACTACATTTCTGAGGGTCCCACAGATACCAGGAGCATGGGGAGCAAAAGGGAGGGAGAGAAAGCAAGATGTCTGCTGAGCATACACACAGAAATAAGAAGAAAAGCACTGGCTGAGTTCCAGAAATTAAAATCTGGCCCCACTGAAGTAGGCAGGAGATTTGCCACCATGGAGACAGAATTTTACCCAATGTGAACAGTATTGTGGGAATACCCTCCCTCCAGACACACTGTGGGAGGTCTTCTGGTTCTGAATAATCACTGGAAACACAGGAAGGGAAATTAAACCCAAACCAAGACAACAATACCAGAATGATTGATCAACAGACAAAAAAGAATGTAACAACAATATGAAGTCAAAAGTGTTGCAGAAGTGGGTGGAAAGAAGGTGGCAAGTCCTTTACCTCCTGGACCACTGAACTTTGTGAGGAACAAGGCAAGATGCAAGGCCTTGTGGTGCTGGGTGCACGAGGCCACGTCAAGGCTGCACTGGAGTCTTGGAGTCTGCATAGATTCAATAACAAGGGGGAAAAAACTTTTAATGCAGATTCAGCCTTGGAGTAGGCTTGCATCAGTAATGCTATATTAAGAGGCCAGAACCTAGCAACTTCAGCAAAGATTCCTAGGAGCAATCAATGTCATCACTTAAAAATTCCCAGGCAGGCTAGTTCACAGAAAGGGCAAGCTCAGCAAGCTCTGTGGTTGTGTAACAGAGCATTCTGGATATGAGAAATACAATAAACAGACACAATGCCTATAAAGTTCCATCTACTCTGACAGCTATGACCCAGTTATTTAGCCTACAGTTGCCCTCTCTGATGTAGTTAGCATTTGGATTCATACCACAACTATATATAAGGTCCTGGATGTTCCCCTTTCACTGCCTTAAGAGTGCAGATTGCCTACAATGCCAAGTTCTATCTTTCAGGCTGCCTGAACTCTCCAAATTCACATGAGGCAACTAGAGAGTCAAATTCCCATAATTGCTGGAACTCAGTCCCCCTAACCCTAACCAAAGACCTCTTCTTTGCTGCAGCTCTGCTGCAAAAAGTGACTAAGTGACTTTTCTGGGAACTACTGCATAATGCACCATGCTGGATATGGTGATGACAGCAGGGAAACTTGCTCATCCATCACTGACAAATATTCAAGTACTACATTGCCCTTTAGATGAGAAATTCAGATGAAGATCCATGTCTACACATCAATGATTAATGAATGACAGCTAACTAAGCATTAAACCAGATTTCCCTGAGTGACTGTGTGACAAGCACAGCATAGGCAGGCATACATTCGCTTTTGGAAGGTCCCAAGGCGCTTTGAGCTTTCCTCAGGCCTTCCTTCCTCTCAAAGCCACTGGAAAGGCCTGCTTCCCCACCCACGCCTCTGACAGTGTGAGATTTACAACCTTCACAGAGCTTAGGTCATCTGCCAGTTTTCTCTCCCGGCTCTCTTCTCTTGCTCTCTCTCATATAACCAGGAAAAAACTCTTTTCACAGTCCTTCCTTAGGTCTGGCCAGCCTCTTCAGGTGATGATCTCCTGATGCTCTGTACTTTGCTGTCTGTGTGCCTGGTCTTGGTGCAAGTTCCTTGTCCGCGGGCTCTGCTGCCAGCCCTCAGGATTGTCCAGTCTTCAGATCTATTGTCCAATATTATGAAAGGTAATGGGAAAAATGGAGGGTAAGGCGGAAAACAAAGGGCACCAAGGCAAAATCAAGCATCTTTGTAGCCTTGCAGAATTCTGCTGGCTCTGAGAAGGCTTTTCACCTTAACTTAGCTGGCAACTTGGAAAATGAATTGAAAATGTGTTTGGTGCTTCTGCAATCTCTTGAAACATATCTGGAGGGAAGAGAGTGCCTGGAGAGTTACCAAGCTCTTGTGCTCCCTGGCAGCCTCAACACCATTGTTATGCCTGCTGAGAAACCAGAAGAGCTGCTTCTCAGCCTGAGAAGATCCTGGGATGAAAAGCACAGACTGCTCTCATGCTGGGCTTGGGACCAGGCTGCTGGCTTTTCCCAGCATGTGTCATACAGCTGTGTGGGTAAGGGCACGCCACAGCCCTCCTTCCCAGCCTTAACAGTGTGAATCTTGCAGAGAACTGTGGGGCACGGACCATTATCCACGAGAGGATCTACTTGCTGCTGGAGTGCTAAAGGGCAGAACAGAGACCAGCATTTAGCCCAATCTTTATTACACTGTGATGCCATCTTTCCTTTGTTTTTAAAATCAGCCTTAAATGCATTTAAATGCAAAACAATTATTGGAAGCAACAAAATCCCATCTTGTTCTGAACATCTCTTGCCAACACTCAAGGAGAGTTGAGAAAACTGAGTGCCCCGAGCTGGCAGCTGGCCATGGAAGATGGCTGGGATTATAACTTTGCTGCTCACCCCTTGCTGGATCCAGAACTTAGAACATAAAAGGACCAAACCTGAAACCTGAAATCCACAAAACAGAATGTAAAAATCTGGGTCACCAGTATCTAAGGTCACAAGTCCAGTCTTTCTAGAAGTTATTTTCACTTCCATGACACTGGCATGACAACACGAGAGAAAATGGGATGATCAAGTCTCTCCACAGAGTAGGAAGAGTAATGTAAAATCATTTCAGCCTAGTGCCATCTCCTGCCTTTTAGATATAATATTATTACTTACCTTCCTTTTTATGCCCAGGACCATAGCAGTACCTAGAAACCACTGAAAATGTGTATTTTTTCCAGAACCTACACAAAACTGTATTTTATCACATTCTTCTACCTCTCTTCAAGTATATCTGATGATTTTCTATAACAGTCTTGTCAATACACCAACTGGTATCAAATAGATAGGTATTTTCTACTGATCTGCTATTTTGCCTAAAATTGAGAATTTTAGACTAGCACAGTCCTCACTCAAAACAGCTGACAACATTTCTTTTGAAGAGTCAGAAGCAGATTTTCAACAGAGAACATAATTTTTAGGAACAGAGAGACATGCAGACATTTTGAGAATTACTTGTTCAAATGGTACTGCTTACACATCTTACACAAGTGAAAACTAAAGACACTGAAAACATGTAAAATTCTCCTTTTGTTATTGTACAAATCATTAGTGTTATTTAACTCACTCAGGCTTCCAAGTACAGGAACTCTGACCATCAGCCCAGTATAGCAGAACACATGATAATTAAATTTACTTACCCTGTAGATTCCTGCTGGGCTTAAAATAAGGCCATTGCTCCAATGAAAAGCCTTCAAAGGCTGCTCACTAGAGATGGGTTTGTCGTTGGGGTTTCTAGACATTTATTTCAGTGCAAATCCTGCTAGAAATTGGAACTTACTGCTTGTTGTGAAGTTACTCTCACCAGCCTGAGGAAAGGAGTCTACGTCTTGGATGACTTGTAGCGGTCCCACAGTCCGGGCTGGGGGATCCAGAGCGACAGAGCTTTCATTCACGGTAGTGTCACTGGCTCCTGTGATCTGGTTGGTCGGTGGTCCTCCTATGGATGCTTCCAAGTCTGGAGGTATATCATCCATGCAATCTGCATTTGGCTAATGGGAAGAAAAAGGAGAAAAACGAGCTCTTACCTGATAAAAATATTCAATTTACTTCTTACCTCTTCGTCAGATTTTTTGGCCTTATTTTAGTATTGAAAATGAAAACATATAATGAATAAACACACAGAGTTTGTCTTCATGTACTTAATACAATCTGTTGGAAGAGAGACCCAAAGAATGCCATGGAAACTGTGTCACCTACAATTGCTAAACATTCTTCTTTATACTTTTAAAAGGGTTAGGGAATGTGCACATTTAAAAAAGTAACTCACTTATTGGTATGATCTGCTCAATATAGGCAGATTGCTGAATCAGATCACAAATGTAAACAGAGACGGGATGAAGGGGAACGATTGTATTTAACATTTATTATTTTTTTCAAATATGCATTTTACAGAGCCAGTATCTGAGCTTACAGGAATAAGAATTCAATAAGAACTGCCTGTGGGTGCATCTATGTGTGTGGTGCAAAACTAGAAGCTAAAACTGTTTATAAGACAAGTTTCTAAACATCAAAAGATGTTTGCTAATACTGTATTTCCTACAAAACACAATTATGAGAAAAGAAACAAGCAGACAAGAATGGGAAACTGAAGAGCATTTTTTGATTCACAGTCTTTCTTGCTATGTGAAGCAAGCCAGTGCTCAGAGAGACAAAGCAAGACTGAGCTGCAATATGCGGATGCCTTGTTAAGCTAGAAAACATTAATTTAAGTTGTTCCCATTTATCTTTATTCTCCAGGAATCAGTCAGCTAGTCTGGATCCGTCACTTAGGTTTCCTCTAACTTCAGGGGTTTGAGACATTTTTGCTGTGTGATTTATCCCCTAACCCTAGGTATGAATTGCTCCCTCTGCCTTCCCTCTGCTCAGCACTAAGCAGAAACAGGGCTTAAGCTGCTGGACTGGAAACCCAACATTCAAATGGCCAATGTCAGAGGAGGTGTACTCTGTTTGGTGGATCTGATTTTTTTCCTATGCTTAGTTGTCTCACATGCCAAGGCACTTTGGAAAATCTCACTATCTGCTTATCTCCAACAGCAGGCACCAAGAAACCAAGCAAAATATGATACAGCAGAGCCTTAAAGAGAGATTTAACTTTAAGCACAAGAGAAATCCCCTTGAATTCAAGCACAGAAGGTTACCATATGTTTACTTTTTTTTTTTTTGTCCCCAGAATCAGGAACTTAGCATGTTTTCTTTTTCCACACATTCCATGTTTGATTGTTGTCACCTCTTAAGTGTTTTTTTCATACGTGTTCCTAACAAAAAAGACAGGCAATTTAAGCAGTCTCGGATCCACAAACTGAAGTTTGGAATGAAAACTAGAATTGTTGTTGTCTGGCTCCAGTCTAATCCACAAGCAGCAAGAATGCCTCAGATTTGGGATAAAAAAGGCACATTCAACTATACCAGGTGTTAATGAAACTCATTGAATCTGTACTTTTCCAAGTGAAGTACCAATAACTTATCTCTAGGACAGGGACCCAAAATTATCCCTTAGATCTATCACTCTTTGCCTCTCTCTTAGCTATTATAAAACAATGTTTTCAGAAGTTCATTTTAAATTTAATTTACTTTTGATGGCAGTGTATATTAAAAACAAAGGCCTATTTTTCTTTCTCCTATAGAAAAAAATTATTTCAATTTTTCAGGGGAGCAGGTGTCTGTCCTTTGCTCTGATTCCAGTTATTCCTAGAATGGGGCTTTATCACAAACTTTTAAAGTTTTTTAAGAGGGGATTATAATTAAAAGTCAAACCAAACATAAAAGATGCAAAAATAATATTGCTTGATGTAATTAATCTCTTTGCTCCTGAATAATTTCAATTGAAAAAAATACCCAAAACTAAGAGCATGCTGTAAAACTATATTAAATACTGATCAGAAAAAAAAAAACAAACAAAAAACAAACCCAAACCATTATGTCTTTGGCTGCCAGAGTGACCCAGATACAGTTGCTAAGTTTAATTATATTGGTTTCACTTGTTTCCTGCATGTAAGTGCTTTGAGAGCACACTAAAGTCAAGGGAGAGCTTTGTATTGACTTCAGAGGGTTTGGCTAAGGCTCTTAGTGAATAGCTTCAAGTCATACAATCTGCTGCCAAAAATGCAAGTGACTGCATATCCAGCAGATGTTTGCAGGAAAGAGGGAGAAGCAGAGGGAAACTACCTCATGTGATATGATTATCCCAATAGCAAGGTAGCTCTTTGAAAGTGAAAGACACTTTCACTAATAATCCTTTTCAAATATTGCAGGTGTAGTCTGAGCTGGATTTTCCAGCAAAGAGTGGAAAAGGTCATTTGCTGGTAGATAGTTAATAATCTTCTGGAGCTGCAGAGTGCTGTGGAGAAAAGTGAAGGTGTTGGGGTGCTCAGTGACTGTGAAAATGAGTGCAGGAGTTTTGATGCCTCACGGCTGCCTGGGGAATCTGAACTTAGGGTAGATAATATTTGAAGTTTCTATTACAAAGTAAATGCAGAATTTAGTTGTGAATTGAATTGAAACATTTAGATATTTTGGGTTTAACCAATCCTTTCCTAGAAAATCCAAAGTCTTCCTGCTAAATGAAGTACAATATACCCACAGACAAGCAAGCCAGGTCTTTAATAACAACCATAGGACACACATGCAGCTGGCAGGGAAAAAAACTCCATAGCCTGTCTACAGTAAGATTTCCTCATTCCTCCCATTGTAAAAGCGTCCAAAATGGCTTTTGTAAATTTGCACCCAAGTCTCCCATCAGAGGCTGATGCCTGCCTTAGGCTTTTTTCTTCTTTTGTGAGTGGAAATTTCAGCTAAGAGGGCTCAGCAAGACTCAAGAATGTGGTTAGGGAATGATATTTTGCTTTACCCACTCTACAGAAATGTCTGCCACCTTTCACAGAGAAGCCCTAGAACTTTACAGGTTCCTTGAGGGCAATATCTTTTCCCACAGCAGCCTATGGACATCTGGCTAAGTGATGAGTCTCTAAAAACACCAGTTCATCTGTGCTGGTGGCTTTTTTGGTTTATGGGAATACCAGAAAGCACACCTTAAGAATGATGTCCGCCCTGGGCTGTCCTCAGCTGGTGCTGGGCAGTGAGAAGGGTGAGGACAACATGATTTCTGTGCAGGTAGAAAACAGGTCCTGGGAGCTGAGCAGGAGCTCAAAAGGACACAGGTTGGGCAGGAGGGGTTATGCAGAGGAGCAGGAGAGAGCATAAGGTAGGAAAGGAACAAACCAGGAGCTGAGGTGTATTTCAGAAAGACAAGGTAGAAAAAAGAGAGGAAGAGGAGCAACTGATAGCAGTATAGGAAGTTTTAACCCTCAAGCTACCAGATGCTCTTATACCTCCACTTCCTTTGCTGTAAACCAGAGGAAACCTGACACAAAGGCTACCATTTACTCCAATTTCCCATGGACAGCAGCTCCTACTGTAAGTCACTTTGAGGGACAAGACTCTCCCTTCATGAACATATCCAATGATCCATGTACGCCAATATGCTTCCTCCAAGAGATGAAGAGGTCTGTTTTCAGCTAGTTGTCTTAGAATAACCTACAGGAAATTTTTACAGAAATTCATACAAAATCCCCTAAAAAAAAACTTTGCTAATGGAACATTAACATCACATCCAAGTGCTTTATTTTTAGTATTAAGACAGATCAACACTACAGCTGATTTGGAAATCTTAATTTGAACCAGTTGTTCATGTAGGTTACAGCAGCATCTTTAATTACATGCTCAGTACAATTATTTCCAAAGAAGCTCCATGCATAAAGCTCTCAGTGAGGACAGCAGGCTAGATCCCCGTTCTGCTGTACTGTACAGCAGAGGAAAGGGAGCTATGAGAAGGGAAACAGTGTTTGAGGAAATGGTGTTTCAATGACTCCTGGCAATTAGGTATTTCTACACCTGCCACTACAGAGCTGTTCACAGGCAATGAAATCAAGCCATGTACACCAAAACTTCTACACATGGCCTCTGGGGCATGTTTTTTATTCTACTAGCTGTGCCCAGCCTCAAACAGCCTGTGGACATGCTTAGCCTTCAGCAGCAGCCAGTGAAGCCAGTGAGAGCTGTGTTCTGGATGTAAATTCTAACAGCACTAAGCTTTCTGGGAAGCCTTTAACATCTCACTGCAGGCCTCCAGAAAGCATTGCTCTGGTTTGCCTATATGCCCCGATTACGAAGCTGGACAAAGAGCACATTAATGACAAAATTGGACAAAATTGGACAAAAATGTGAACGGGCCAGTGTGAGAGCAGAAATGGTATGGTGCTGTCAAATGCACAGGGAAGCCATGGAACAATACACTGGGTAGAGAGAAAAGGTGTCAGAACCCTGTGTAACTGCTCATAGCAGGCCTGTGAGCTGAGATAGAACCTGAGGAAATTTTTCCGTATTTAAGCCTAGGTGCAGAGATGCTGAATGGCAGAGCTAGCCTTTGTTCGGGCTTTTGATCCTAAGATCCGATTTAACAGTTGCATCACCTCTAAATATACTAAAGACAATATACACATTTAGCAGAAAAAGTAGCCAAACTGTTTTGATGAATTACCCCAGATACAATGCCCTCCTTCTTTTTCCACTTTGCATGTTTTCAGTTTGGATTATATTATATTAGGTTTATTAACATATCTGCCTGCAACCTGCTTCCTCGTCTCCATGAAACTGATTTCTCTGAGAATGGCTATACGAGCTCCCCAATACGTTCATGTGAACTATTTTACTTTATATAGCTCTTTCAAATGTGAACTGGTGCATCACTGACTGAAACTCGGGGGGCTACTTACAGCACCTGGTAATGCATCAACTGGAGGTGTTTCAGTATTGAACTTCACAAGCCTTGCACAGTGGAGGACAATGACTCACTCCTTCCTAGTGAAGCCCCTGAGCTTGGTGATAGCTCCAGCTGGGAAAGGGTATGGCAGACCATCTGAACACAAACATGCGACTTAGAAAGATCAGTTACTTTTGCAGTTTCTAACCACATTTGAATGTTCCAAATAACAAAGAGCTTAACAATTTCTTGTATGTCATGTGCTCCACCACATGCTTAGTAACTGGGAAAAAGGGCCCTTAACTGGAATTAGGAGCAGAGACCTTGCTTCAGATAGACTTTAAGAGAAATCTGACAGAAAAAGGACTTGCTTCCCCAGAATGAGCAATTTGTTGTCCTTGATGAGTATACCAGAGAAAATTTTATTTGCAGAATTTCTGCTTTAAGATTTGAACCGAGGGCATGATTAAAAAAATAAATCCAGTCCTGAAAGCTATGTGAAAGAGTCTATAAATCCACCAAAACACCAGTGAACAATCTTCTGCTTCACCTAGCAGGCAGCCATAGACACACAAATCCCAACCAACACTCACACACACACTCTTCCCTGCTAATACTAGTGGGGTGCAGGACAGAGGTAGAATCAGACATTTCCAATTGTACTTCCCTTAATAAATAATTAATTATTCAATAATATGGCAAAAAGAGTAAGATGGAAACGGACAGGAAAAGGCTAGAGATATACTCAGGTGGCTGGTGTTTCCCTTCTGCCCTGATGGGCTGCTCTGCAGTGCTTACCGGAATCCCTAGAGCTTTTAGAATATTCATTTTACACATCGGGCAGGTACGATGGTCTAGCAGCCAGGGGTCTACACAGGACTTGTGGAAAAGATGCCTGCAATGAAAACCAGGATATCTTAATACAAATGCACCACAGCACAATTTACCATTTAGTACCAGATGATTCTTGAGCTTGAATTCTTTCAAGCTAGATTATTTCAACTGGTGCAGTTTGTGACCTCTTCAAGGACTGTAGAACTAGGTCCTATGCACATAAGGCTAAAATGATTCCTGCAGCAACTGAAGCACATGTGCACATTTCAATGTGTTTGGAATAGAAGAGTACATACTTAAGAGATTTAGAGAAAATACACAAAATGCATTAGCAAACCCGATATCCTTTAAATGTTAAAGGCTGCCAGCAAACAAAAGCTGCTTGCTGGAAAAGGTAACAATCATGCTAGTTTTTCTTAATAGTTCTACAGACAAACCTGAATTACACATAATTTAAATGTGAAGCCATTGAGGGTCTAGTATTTTTCAGGGTAGAGGCAAAAAGAAATAAATTTAATTTGAAAAAAAAAAAACTTTCCATTTAAACAGAAAAACCAGTACAATGCTTTTATAAATATCCTTTCTGACTTCCCTGCTCTTTAGAAGCTGCCCATCAGAGAGAGCTCCTACGTAGCTCCCTGAAGGAATTGTTGTTAATCCTGTTCTGAGTCTGAAGGGACTACCAAGCAACTACCTGAGCCCTGTAGCCGCTGGGCACCACTTTTCCTAGACATCAATCAGCTGGAGCACCTGAAAGTTTCTTGTTTAGGTTTGCCTTTAACAAACTGATAATGACTGTAGAGATATTCAATGTGTGTACCTGACTGGCAGACTGTATTCTCTCTTGAGATCATACTCTTTTACTAGGAATACAAGAAAACATTTCTTCACCCCAAGGGTGGTCAGGCATTGGAACAGGTTGCCCAAGGATGTGTTATCTGGAGGTATTTTACGACGTGTGGATGTGGCACTTGAGGACATGCTTTAGTGGTGGGCTTGGCAGTGCTGGGTCTATTAGACTTGAAATACCTAAATAACTGTATGATCCAAAGGCTCAGCCTGGAGCAGGGAACATACCAGTCTCTACAAGGAAATGCAATCTCTGAGAAAGCCAGAGTCACCTAATGTAACAAAGTAACTCTAAATATTTAACAGCTACTTATTCAGCTGAATGGGTCAGCAGATGTGTCACTACATGGCAACTTACTGCAGTCGTGTGCTTTGTGTCACTTTATACAACTATGGCAAAGGGCAAACATATTCTTGGAAGTTCGACCTAGTCTAATTATATCAGCTGGCTGGGGTATCAAACCTCATTTGATCCTGTATGTCAATATGATTAATCAAATGAAGCATTGTGATATTTGAAGTTTAAGCCTCTACTTTACTAAGGCTACTGAAGTTCACAGCTGTACTTCCAAACACAAAACCTGACCTAATGGATAACAACAAATGAACCAGATTTTGGTCTCTGTCCTGCTTAAAATTTCCTTCCTTCTATCTTAGGAGGGGCATGTTCAGCACACTATCAGGCAAGCATTCTGAATAGGTGAAAGCATAAAGATACAGTTCTTAGACATGTGTAATTTACATTTAGAAGTCTAACCAACAGATTTTCTTGAGTTTGTTAGTTCAATGTTAATTCATTATGTCTTACCTTTCAGCTACATGAAATAATAAAGAAATTGTTGTTAGTGATTGGTTTTCTTTAATTATATAATCAAATTCATAAATATGCTTATTGGCAAACATCTGAAGCACATTTGTGCCAAAATAATCAGTCCATTTACAAAACCTGAGATATTTATTAATCTCTCAGAAAACAAAACAGATTTCCAAAATCTGTTTTGAATAAAAAATACATAGTTTCCACCAAGACTTTTTACCATAGACCAGAAAATTCCCTTTCGTTTTCAAATTCCAGCTTTGAAAGCCTCAGTCAAACTGGCGTTCATATTAGAGAATTTCATGATGTTTGTTCAGCATCAAAAGCTTGGAACACTTTCATGCCTTAAAGACTTTAAAATCTGAAGTTCAGTATTCCTAAAGTTGGCTTCAAAAACAATATTCTAAAATAAATCCAAGTAATTTAAAAACATGACAGATCTTGTCACTTTGCACATCTCAATACTAATTTAGCACAGTGTATTATGACTCCATTAATTTCAGATTTAATATGTACTACAGAGGGAACTTGATTATTTGACAGAAATTCACAGAATAATGGAATGCCACTGAATATCAGATGAAGATTTGCCTTTTAAAATTTTTGTACTGCATTATAAAATTAGAGCTCTTATAATATCTGTTTTGAACATGTAAACATTTGCGCAGAAAAGCAAGTTGGCAGGCTTTGCAGATTTGGATTTGAAAGTTTATTAGGTATAGCACTATGTACATGCTTATGGCATTCAAAAAATTGTCAATTGTTTTATGTTCCAAATTCAAGCAAAAGAAGGGACACCATAAAGTAAGACGAGAGCAACTGCAGTATTTCACTGTCCCATGGTAAGACAAAGATGTAAAAAGACCAACTGCAACAAAAATTCCTCCCTTTGCAGTTCTGACTGATGCAAGTTTTAAATGGAAGGAGAGGATAGAGCCATCATGGGTGATTTCAGAAGTAATGACCCATACAGCAAGACAGTAAGAGATGTTTCAAACTCGGGCTCAGGACATAGCTTTGACAATCAAAGTCAAAGCTAGAAAAAAATACAGGTTTTTTCACTATTGTGTGCAACCACATTCATTGCAAAATTATGTTGATTTGAAAAGTTTCTCAAAAGAACTGCAATTGATGAGTTGACTGAGAGGAAGGTGAGATGTTGTCCCAACCTCATACAAAAGGATTTTTATAAGGGAAAGGAAACAACTGTTCACCATCTCGCCCAGGGATAAGCAGCACAATGATGTTGTTTAAACTGTAGCAAGTGAGATCCAGGTTACACAATAAGAAAGGCTTCACCACAGCCAAGGTAACGAAGCACTGCAATAAATTATCAGGGGGTTTGCTTTCTTCATCCCAGGAGACTGCAGAGTGTGTTGGAAAAAGCTGCCAAGAACGACATGTGCGTGCCAGTGCCCCTGTGCTGTTCCAGAGGTGCTGGCCTCCTGGGATCCCTCCTGTGCTGCACTCGCCTGTGGTTGCACATGGCTGTGCAAAGCTCACAGAGCACAAAGCAAAAGAACCTCAAAGTCCCAGAGCATTCCATTTATTGTTATCTAAATAGCACTTCACATTTTTAAGCTAGATATTGCTTTTGTTTGAAATGCATTTATGTTTTTTTTTAAAGATGCAATTTTAATCATACAAGAAAAAAATCATGCCGCACTCAGCCCAAATAATAATAATAATAATAATAATAATAATAATAATAATAATAATTATTATTATTATTATTAGTATTATTATTATTATTATTTTAGTACAACTATTGTAAAGTGTTCAGCTTGCCAACAATTTTGAGAGGCTTTTTTTCCAGATTAAGGGAAACTATTCTCCTCCCACCTACCACTCCTAGTCTCACCTATGCAGAAAGAGAGGAACATCCCTGAACCTTAGAGTAAGAGCATCAGTTGCCTGGATTAGACCTAGGGCTGAAATAAAGGATTTAGAATTTTTATTAGTGAGAGACTGAGTAGCACTGTAGTATCCAACAAGAAGGTTGGAGATTTTGGGGGGTGCTTGTACAGTATTATTTACTTCTGAGGAGGACAAAAGATGATGAGGGTGAGAGGAAGGAATCAAAGGGAAGAATGTGTGTGATGAAATAATTTTCACAGAAGCTAATAAAAAGAGAGAGCAGGAGTGATAATTCTCTGAAATCACAGTTGTTCATGGAGTGAAGGTTCAGGGGAAAAGATGACCTGGAGTGAGGTCAGAGAATGTGTTTATTGGTGAAAGAAATGAAACAGCAAAAAAGAGAACCTATGAGGCACTCAGTAGAAATAAGGTTGAAAGAAATCTCTTGCCTCTCTATAGAAGTTTAAAGTAAAAGTTTAGTAAAAGGCACAGACTGGGAGCAGCAGGACTAGTAATTTCTCCAAAGCTACAGCAGAAAAGGAAATGGTGTTTTGAAACTGGAGACAGAAGACAAGCAGAATGAAGTAAGGCTGTGACAAGAGATGTCATTCTAGGAACCTTGAACTTGGTTACATTTGATCTCGTGTCAGTGCCCTTAAAGACAACTTCAGAGATGTTTGCTACCATTAAACTTAAAACTAGCTGCAAGTCAACACTTTATACTTTTATCAAGTGTCATTCCTTATTTATGTAATGCACTCTGTGAAGTTTCTTACTTCAGTCAGTTGTGGGAGCTGCCCGATGAAGATAAAGAGGAAGAAGCACAAGTTCTCTTGGAATTCTCCTCTGAGCTTTCCAGAGTGGGGTACACAAAACCAACTATCCCAGTGCCAGCAGAAAACAGAGGACATTTGGGAAAACAGCCCAAGTCCTAGTAAGCACGTATTTTTTTGACTTCAGAACTCATCCACTGCTATACTGGAAGTTTAATGAGGTTCCCATGTTAGAAAATGCACATGGCTTAACTGAGGATACTGGAGCAGGAAAACTACAGAGTCTGTAGGTCTTTATCAAGATATAACACTCCTACTCACTTCACAGAAACAGAAATTAATCCACTTTCCTTTTTGTTTTGGATGAGGAGATGAGATTGAAAACAGCAGAAAGAATAAGGAATACCATTTCATGTTTCAGAAGTTCAAACCCGTGCAAGTATGTAAAACACTGCTCTTGCAGTATGTGTAGCAGGAAAGCCAGGGTTGGTGAAATAGCTGCTTGAGAAAGATCTTAGAGTTTTTATAATTCCTGACTACTAAGGCTCAAACTGTGGGTATTTTACAAGACAGTTCAGCTACTGCTACCCTTTTAGCATGAGTCATTTTCTGGGTGACCTTTTAAGTCAGCCAAGAACTAAACACCACCTGTTAACTCTGTGTTTCCTATTCACTCTGCTTGACGCAATGCCGTGGATGACAAAGGCTCATTGAATTACGAGGTGGGACACAAGTGAAAGCTAAAGCTTAGACATATATTTAAACTGTTGTAGATCTACCTCAAAACACTGCCTGTCTCTATCATGCAAAATTTCCAAGCTTTATTCTGCTTCTGTGCAAAAAGGCTTGATGCCAAACCAAGGTCCACATTTTCCGGTAGTTTCTCATTTTTCTGTATTTCTGCCTCATGAAGTGATGTGTTTGTGTTTGCTCATAAAAAAGAAAAGAGTTCACATGCAATTTGTAATTGTGGGGGATTTACAGTAGGTCAAATTTATGATTAATCTGTTGCTTTGTGTTAGCCATTTAGTGATGGCAGTAAACAGATTTAATGAATCACATGAAGTAACAGAAATGGACAGCTTGTAACATTCAAATATCTACTAGGGTACAACACAGCGGGAAAATAAACAAGTATTTTGGTTTCTCAAGCCAGTTAACATGACTCAGGAAAAGAAATAAGTTCTATTGAAAATAATAAAATCTCTGCTCTATTATGTGCAGCACTTCATATCTGTATTTCTATGGAAATCAAACACTTGCTGTTGCTCTCCTAGGGGCAACTGATCCTAGGAAATTTCTCAAGAAATTGATTTCCTTAAAGAAATCCTCCATTAGGTAACACTTCACAAATGACAGTACAGTAGCACAAGATGAATACAGCTGTTAGGGATGGCTAGAGGCTGCACTCCTGTGTCACATCACTGCGGGTGGATGTGTTGCACAGGGCATCTTCACATGAGGCATCTCTTTCTATGGCTGGGGATTTTTCCTGTCAAAAGTCATCTTTTTCTCAGGCCCAGGACAGCAGAAGAAGTAGCTCAATGGGGAGCAGGAGCCTGCTCTATCCCTGGATGCTTGTGGCCAGGGCTCACTCTCAAGTCAGAGGGAAATTCTCCTAAGGCATTTATTCTAATTAAAAAAAACAGACAAATCAAAACTTTTGTTTAAAAATCTTACTAAAGACTTTGTTATAGGCTCAGGTTGGATAAAATTTCCACCATACTAAACCCTCAGGGTCTCACCACCATCACTAGTTTCACTTCACGTAGAATAAAGATGCATTTCAGATATCTTTACCAACAGATTTGGAATAGGCCAAAATAATAAACTCACCCTTCCCTCCCCAAGTTCTCAGGTAATCTCATCAGTGTGAAACTGAGAGCAGAGACTGTCTTGAAGTAGAGATTATTAGACCTAAAAGCACATTCAATTTACCTGCAAGGCAATATCCTGACAACATCATTGGGCTTGTAGCCTTCGATACAAACAGCACAGTTATCAAAGTCTGGCTCAGTCTCCTACAGGGAAGAGAATATTAATCATATTCATTTTTTATTTTGTTAGCTAATCTCTTAATATAAGAGCCTATGTGACAAAGTAAAACACTCACTGAAGCAGACTGCAAATCCAGTAATGCATTTCAAAACCAGCAAGTCAGATTTTCTGACGTGTTTCCAGCTGGAAACTTGCACTGGGAAGCATGCAGATTTAGTTAGTATGTTTTAACTTTCAGAATTTTCTGCATCTTTAACCGAATCACCCTCTCTCCCCACTCTGTTTCATTTAACTTCCACTCCTTCCCCACCTGAAGGAGACAGTAGCTAAATAAGCAATTGGCATTTCTGTTCTGCCTCTGTCCCAGAGGTCTAAAGGAATCCTCAGCACAGAGTTTAATTTAGTAACAAGAATTTTGAAAAATTACCTTGTCACCTTTCCTGATCGTCCTGACTTGCAGCTTGCTGATTGCTTTCTTCGCAGCATCTCCAAGCCGGCGCTGCAATACAAAATTTGCTCTTAAGCAAAGAGCATCTCTTCATGCAGAAATCAAAACTTTTTCTCTCTAGGCTTCTTAATAATTTTAAGTACATGGAACAGGATAGTGTATAAATACAAACATAATAATTCATAAAATGGGCACCATAGGTGTGCTACACTGCAGCAGTGCGTACTAATGTAGGTAACAAGTCCATTATTTGATTGTCCTACTTCTTCCCTCTCTTTTTTTAATGACACTTGTTAAAAAAAAAAATACCGGACAGTTAGCAGAGCGAATGCTGAACTTTATTCTTACATTGTTCCATAACTAGTTCATGATCTTCAGCAGGATACAACTTCTGAAAGTGAGCTGTTAATTTTTTAACAACAAAAACTCTGAATAATCTCTCCTGTCTTTTTTCCTGCAATACAGAGTTGCCTACTTTAGAAAAATGAGGTGGAAGCATCTGCAGTTTCTTACAGGTAAAGCACTATATAGTCCTGCAGTAACTTCCTGTCCATACATAACCATTTGATGATTCTTTGCCTTTCTATCATTCCCTCCAGTGGAGCATAAAGTGATTACCACATCATGTTTCTGACTGTTCTCCCATATTTCCAAAACACTGTTACTGTGCTGGCAGGGTCACAGCCACTAGGATTAAAGTATGTAATAACAGCCTGACACAAAACACCCTGTCCTCAGACACTGCAAATGGACATATCTAAGAGGTTGGGAACATTGCAGGGCAGTTCACACAGTCACTGATCAGCACCCTGTGCTACAGAGCTTGTTCCTTGGACTTGGCTGCTCACTTGTGCTAATCCAGCAACAAGGCAGTCTGGAGACAGACTCACAGGCTGGAAAAGTCTTTGGGAGGTCATGCATTCCCATCCCCTGCTCAAGACTGGGTCAACTTCAAAGTCAGAACTGTGTTAGTCGAGTTTTGACTATCTCCAAGAAAGGAGATTTCACAATCTCTGTGGATAATTTGTCCCAGTGCTTAACCAATCTCAGCATTTTTTCTTCTCTAAACATACTAACGGAATTTCCCTTTCTGGTAATTTGTGACCATTACTCTGTGCACTTCCAGGAAGAGGCTGATTCTGACTCCTCTGTGACCACCCTTTTTGCAGCTGGAAGCAGAGCCCTTCCTCCTCCTTGGCTCCCCACCCAGCTTAGTATGCTCCCTTGACCCCTCCTCAGACGCCATGTGCTTCTGCCCCCAGAACATACTGGTGACCCTTCTCTGGGCACTCCCCATCTCTTCTATGCCTTTCTCACATGGTTTCATGCAGCAATGTCCACTCCAATGTCATCTTTATAACAGTTCATGGTACAGCATGTTCCAATTTGCCACCAATAAATGACTTGAACTCTTCCCTTCACCTCCTCTCCCCAACCACATTTCCAGCCATGTGTTGCTAGAGAGGAGACTTAGGGCCTTTGGTGATTCAGAAGACATTTAACCTTCTGAGCTGGGAAACTCCTGTACCAGAGTTCAGAGGGGCCTGTCAGCAGGAAGGGTTTCCAGCTGGAGGGGGTGAGAGCATGAGGCCAAAGACAGAAGGAAGCTTGAGGCAATTTATAAGTTGAGACCTAATCACCACACAGATATGACCAGTAAATTGCCACTTTGGTCACATTCAATTAAAATCACTAGATTAAATTTACAGAGTAAGCTTGTTGGATTGGAAAGGCTGACAAAAGACATGCAATATTGAAAGTAGAGTGCAATTTCAGATATGGCTAAAGAGGTGAAAACAATCTTGACTATCAGGAGATTTACATATGAGCTTTCCAGCAACTTAATTATTGCATGTGAAGGAGTATCTTGTAGTTAGACAACATCTCTTTCTGTGGTCCATTTTTCTCAGTCTCCCTTAAATAAAAGAATCAATGAGAGTTGAAAACATTTCTTGTCAGCTATTTGGTTCTTTAATGTAAATCAAAGACAGATTGATAACATACAGCCAGACAAGAGCCATTATGTCATGCTTCAGAAAGTGCTTGTGATCCCTTTTCATCAATATTATTACTTTAATGAATGAAATGCCTCGTTCTTTTTTGCACATTCTTGAAGGGGAAAGGACAAGATCAAAAACTCCTGTACATCTTTGATTTGCTTGCTTTCATGTTTGCTTTCTCTTATCCATCATAAATAGATAAGTTCATAACTTACACGTAAATGAGAGTAATTTAGTTTTTGAAAGAACAGGGATTTCTTGGACTAAAGTAATACTTTCAAAGGATTCTCCCATTTGAACAGCAAGGCATGCTATCAATAACCAATTATTTTTCCCAAAAGATAAGAGGCATTACAGCAGTTTAAGGGTTTAAAGTGAGGCTTAGAGATTTACAGTCATAAATCTCATAATCTCATTAGCAATGCTGCAACATTCAGTACTGGACTGGAAGGAGTTAAGCCTGTCAGATGCAGTGGTCTTGAGGAGATGGCAATGCTCATTAAAAACGAAGGACAGTCCCATGGAAAGCACCACTTATGTGTTCCTGAGAAAGTAAATGACCATAGATGATGTGGAGGAGAAAAGTTACAGTAAGTGCTTCTCCCTTAATGGCCTTACTAAACTATCATCTTTGCAAGGAGATCACCTTGTGCCTTGTGCAGAATGAGATGCATCACCAGCACGAGGTATTGGACATCTAACCACAGACAAAGGCTGCAGACTCCATCATGGGAAGCATCTTCCCAAATTGCTTCAAAGATTGACATCCCTGTACAGTGGCCTAAAACTCTAATTCCAAGCCACAGCCACAAGTCTTCCTTCTTAGATAAATGCTCTACATGCTGACAGCCACATACTAAAGATTAACCCGGGACACACAAGATCCTCCTCAAGTCCAGTGCAATCACTACCTGCTTTGGCTTCCACTATCCTGCAAAACTTAAGGAGTACAACCAGTTTTAAAATGACTGTGTAGAAAACTTCCTCTGAACAAGAAGCCAATGGAAAGAAGGGACATTGAAAAATGTGGTAAATAAGTCTGGAACTGAAACATCACCACCTCTTCATTTTCTCATGTCACAAACAATAAAAAGAGAACTCTAGTATTACTGGTGAAATATGAAAAGCTCTGACAGACTGACAGGGCTGGTTTGTTATTGTTGTAGCTGTGCCCTGTTTTAAGTCTCTGCCCTGGCTGTTACAGGGCTGTAACATGAGGTCATATTTTGCTGAATTATCTCTGGAACTTAACTTGTCATGTAATTCTAATTCTGCTTCTAATTAGCTCTACAATGTGATATTTCTTGATTTAAAAAATTTCCACAGCCTTTTACAAAATCTCTCAACTCTCTCATCTTCAGGAGCCTTCCAGGAACAAGCTGCTGAGGAAACAGATTCTCTTACATAAATTTATTCTATTCATGTCAAAAGGATTCATCATCAAGGCAACCACCAACTTCCTGGACATCTCGTTAGGTGAGAAAAAAAGGTTCAATCATGTGAATACTACTATGTATCTTCTACTTCCATATATAATGTACAGTTGCCAGTGCTAGAGATACTCTTACAAATTAAATGTATTAAAATAAAAATTAGTATCTCACCATGTTTGCAGCTGACACCCTGGCTGTAGGTGCACAAGCCCATAGTGGAAGACACTGCATTGATTCTCAGCCAAGTGGGGATGAATAGACACTGGCATTCAGCAAGAATCTTTGAAATCCTAATTCTCCACTCATCAAAATCAGGCACCTAATTGGAGTAAGCTGCGTCTTCCTTCTGGCACATGATCTTAGATTTTGCACACGTGATGAGTAAGAGTGGTGGCTGAAGATGTAGATGGACTATGTCCAGTTCTCATCTCACTGTGGAGTCACAGGAAATGATTCCAGGAGATTTTTCAGTCTTTCTAGCTGCCTCTCTCAATAGCTGGACTCATTGCTTTCTTGATGGATAATTAAATCACTTTGTTTTGGATTTACTGCTTGGTCAAAAACTTATGCCTAATGAAAGAAGGGAAGTGTACCTGGAGAGTCACCAGATAGAGAAGGACTAGACAAAAGTGTTTATGAGGCTTGACAAAAGGACAGTATGATTTTAATTAGAAATTTGTGATCCCATCCTTGAGTTACAAGAAAACATGTCAAAGAAAAAAAATCCCAGAACCTGATGGAAAACAAAGAGGAATGCTCATGGGAAGGGCAAGAGCAAGCTGAGCTCTTCAGAACTACCTACAGCATTAAATTCTGTAGCCAGGACTAAAGGAGACAAAACTAAAAAGACACACCAACCCATTAACACAAATAATAGAGTTTTGTTTGTATATTGCTACCATTTTCATATGAAAAGAGCTAATAAAGAGATTAGATGTCAGACAAAACTGTATGAAGAAAACTGCATGAAGACTTTTTAGGTTGCCCCTTATTATTGCTCAGTTTTTCCCTCCAAAATAATAATATTAATTAATAATAATATGTAATTACTTAGGAGGCATCCTTTCTAATTCTTCTAAAGAACAGAACTAGTATAATAACCAAGTTATTAAAACCCCTCCATAGGACAACTGCTTGTGCACATGTGGTCTCATTCAAACTTTGGAAAGAAAATACTGAAAAGGAAATATGTTTGAACATATAAACACATCAGTTTCAAACTATATTACCTGAATGAGCTTCTTATTTTGATGAGTTTCATGTTTATATATGTCAATTTACACTGCTAAGCTGCCTGTATAATTACCTGACTGAAAGCACACTTACACACACAAATAAGGCAGGCATGTGCTTTTGCAGACAAAGCATCTAAAAATTATCACAGCCGTTGCAGTCACAGTGAATCTGCTGCCAATGATGTTCAAATTCCAGCTGGGGTAGTCTCGTTCTTGCTATCCAAAATTCCAGACTGTATATTTAAGTGGAAAATACATTCTTTCTGTCTGTAAATACAGAGCAGCTGCTCCCTATCTCAGAGGATGCCTGAATTTCAATGGGGGAAGGCGAGGGATTCCTACACGTCAAGTATCTGTTAAAGAGCGTGTAGCAGGGTTTTTCTCTACAAGATGGTTATTTACACTCTGAATTTTACCTTTTCTGCAGAATAAGCAAGGCAGCCCTCCTGGCCCTGACAGTAATTTATTGAGCGTTTAGAAACCTCTCTGAATACAGTGCATTTTTTACAGTGCAATAAAATGGTTATCTCTTCAAATTACATACATTGATAACATTTTCTACTATACCATTAGAATGAAATGTACAAGCCTGAGCTTCCCAGTTCTGCTGAGATAGTTGCATCTGGCCAAGAAAATAGTAAATTTATTATTATTGTTGCTATTATTATTCACTGCTGGACTACCATAAAGATGGGCAGTGCTTTATAAAACCACTGCTACTGACTTCTCTTCAGCTCTATAGGCTTTTTATCTCTTTCAAGGGCTTTGGACAAGATGCCAAAACCAATAACAACGGTTTAATAATTAGTGACTATCACTACAGTCCTGTTCAGTGATCATTGTCAAATGAAGAAGAACATATTTGTCTTTCTAGCCCAAGACCTTTCTAAGGAAGCATTAAAGTAAGAATAGTTTTTTTTCCCCGCTTTCTTCACTCACCATGATCATTGCTTCACACACACATGCCTCACAATGTTTTAGTTAGCATTTTGATCTCAAGGGTCCTTAGTTATACACATTGCTATAATATTTGGCTATATGTACCACAACAATATTTTCACAAATAAACATTACCTTTCTGTCTATTTTTTGTGTTTTGCATAAGGAAAAAAACCCATAATATATATACACTATTAATTTCTTTTTTTTCTTGTATCCCATCTATACTGACATTAAGTCTTTGATTTTCCCAGTCATTTTTATATTCCTATACTTTTCACTTTCTTGGGATTTCTTTTAGTTTTCTGTTTTTACTACACACTGACAATTTCTTTAACTTTTACTTCTACAATAAATCCTGTGGTGATTTTTTGGAAACACAAACTGTTACTCCAGCCCTGCTCACCTGATTTCTGTCTCTGGCATTTGCGTAGCGGAATCTCTGGATGTAGTAGAAGACCAGCCATGCCAAGGAGATGATCATCAGCACAATGAAGGAGATGGAGACAAACACCACCGAGGTCCGGCTAACGTACTTCTGCAGGTTGCGAGTCCCGATGGTTATGTACATCATCACAGTAATGTTCCTCTCCAGGAGGCTCACTATCTCTTTTCCTTTGGGTTCAGGAATCATTATTGCTACAACATCTTCTAAGCCTATCAGACAGAGAGAGAAAGGGACCCTTAAGTAAAACAAGTGATCACCAAAAGGCAATCATAGAATCACAGATTATCCTGAGTTGGAAGGGACTCACAAAGATCACTGAAGTCCAACTCCTGACACTGAACAGGACATCCCAAGAATTCCACCATGTGCCTGAGAACTTTGTCCAAATGCTTCTTGAACTCTGTCAGGCTTGGCTCTGTGACCACTTCCCTGAGGAGGCTGTTCCAGTGCCCAGCTACCCTTTGGGTGAAAAATCTTAATATCCAACCTAAATCTCCCCTGACACAACTTCATGTCATTTCTTTGTGTCCAATAACTGCTCACTGGAGAGAAGAGATCAGTGCTGCTTCCCCTGCTGATGAAGTTATAATCACACTGAGGTCTCCCCGTCAGTCTCCTCCTCTCCAGACTGAACAGACCAAGTGACCTCAGCCACTCCTCATACAAGTTCCCCTCAAGGCCCTTCACAATCCTCGTGGCCCTTCTTTGGACACTCTCTAATGGCTTCATGTCTTTTTTACATCGTGGCACCCCAACTGCCCCCAGCACTCGAGGTAAGGCCGCCCCAGTGCAGAGCAGAGCAGGACAATCCCCTCCCTTGCCCAGCTGGCAATGCTGTGCCTGATGCCCCCTGGGACACAGTTGCCCTCCTGGCTGCCAGGGCACTGCTGACTCACATTCAACTTTCCATCAGCCAGGACCCCCAGGTCCCTGCGCACAGCACTGCTCTGCAGCCTCTCATTCCCCAGTCTGTCTGTACATCCAGGGTTGCCTCATTCCAGGTGCAGAATCTGGCACTTTTCCTTGTTGAACTTCCTATGGCTGGTGATTGCCCAACCCTCTGATTTGTCCAGCTTTGGCAAAAAAAGTAACAAGAAATCTGTCTGTGCTTTCTTCTGCTCTTCCCTCCTGTTTACCAAGAGGGAAGTCATATGGATCTGGTGAAGGTTTCAACTGAAACCAGTTACACAGTGTGTTTCTACATACTAATCTTGGTGAGATATGTAAAATGTGTTCCATGGGCTGACATAAACACAGATTTCTAGCACTTCTGAGGCTTATCTGGATGATATTGCTGTAAACACGGCAAAAAGGGAGGTATACTGCATCCAACATTCCATATACATTTATCACAGTCTGTTTTGCAGGGTCATGAGTCTGTCAGAGAAGCCCCTCCAAACTCTGCATCCAGATAAGAAACACTTTCAATCACAGATTCCCACATGGTTTCACAAGCGGAAATGCCAAAGCATCACTGCTCTTGCACCAGGCTGGCAACCAAAGAGCAGCTTACCATGTTCCCAGTGACTCCCCAGAGTCCAAGCCCATACAGCAATTTGGGACTCTGCTGGAAGCTTGACTCTCCAACTGATACAAATTTAAAGTAAAGATCATTGTTTAATTCCACATAAAATTGCCTCCGCAGCCCATATCAGCCCCTGACACTGCATGCAGCATGGCCCCACAAGGATGCAAGTCTGCACAGCTGATGCAGCAAAATCCCACTAACGGGATGAAGCAGGGACTTCCTACAGTCCTGCCAAGCCTTCTATCATGATCCTGTGAATTGGGCCCTCCACTGATCTAGCCATTCTCAACTCCACACTAATTTTCCTCTCTGTACAGCATTGTTTGATGTTAATTGCATCACACATTGGTGAAACTATTTTCTTTTCAATTTAAAGTCCTCTGTGTATAAGACCACATAATATATGTGGTCTGAAATTATCTGGGAATCACCAGGTTGTTAAATGCCTTTTATGGCCTCACAAAAAAACTATCACTGCTTTACAGTTTAATATTAGGGATATTTTGTTCTTTCACTTCATGAAATAAGCATGTAGACAATTTTTACACTTAAACTATGTTTTGCAATAGCCAGTTGTTCTAAGTAGCTAAGGACAGACAGGGTGTATTGTAATGTAAAAATGTGCTAGGAACAATAGCAAATGAAATGATCACAAACTGGCATTTAGAAAGGTACAAACTGGGGGTGTCTGAACTCAAAGAGCTATGCTGGGGTGGGGCCTCAGAATTTCACATGAAATCCCAGGAAATCGGCTGATGTTGTTAATCCCATGGCTGTCAGTATTTTGACTGTGGCAGGAGGAGAAAGCACTGCATTCAGAGGGGCATTCATGGAAATGGGAAGGGATCATTCAGCCACAAATGGAGGTATGGGAGGGTGACTTGCATTTTCAACAGGATCCCTCTCCCTCCAAGCTGGTATCCAATGTGAGCTTCACCAGTTCAGCACTGTATCCTGGTCTTCAAAGTCTAGGTCAGACATTTCTTCACTAAGAAACCCTGGGAGGTATAAACCAGGTTTTCAATTGGATTTGGATGCTGAAGGCCATGAGGTGTTTGGCATGAGTTTGGATATACACAGGGGGGTGGTGTTCTGCAGAAAACACTAATTGTGGTGGAAACTCTATAAAATTCTGCTGGGTGCCTGCATCACTGGAGGTACTGAAATAGCTGTGGCAGACTGCTGCTACTCAGAGAAATCTGCTGTGAAGCTGGGAACTGAACCCTCCTTCTCAAGTCTCAGAGCAGAAGTACAAACACCACCCTTCTTCCTTTCATGAGGCTTTCCATCATAATGCTTCTGTGATTATGAACAGGTCAGTCAATGAACAGAGAGGATCAAATGTATGGCCGAGTCAGGAGTTTTAGATATTCATGACTGGAAACTTAACCTTCCTGCTGATACTCTTCTATAAAGCATTACTGTTTTTCAGCTACTCCCCTTTATTTTTTTATTCCAAGAGTCCACCATCAGCAGTCAAGATAAATCTAGCCTTGCAACTCTTCTGATACCCTTTTATTACAAAAGGCTAATGCAAACATTACCCTAATGGCCTAGGGAGAATTTGCCAAGTCTCAAAGTGGCTGAGAAGGGCACTGGTGCCATGCCAGTAATTTTCCTGCAGTCAAAAAGAAAAATTGTCTGGAGCAGGGCTTAGCTGTCAACATGGCTTCCTTTGTTCTATTCCCCATCTTAAAAAAAAAAAAAAAAAAAAATTAAATTCAATCTACAGGAAAACCAAAGAACCAATCTCATGCATAGCCAAAAAAAAAAAAAAAAAAAAACCAAAAAAACCCACAGTGAAAAATTCCACAGCCAAAATTACTGAATTTAATCACTGCTCTCTGTCCAACTGACTTTGCCAGTACAGACCATTAACATCATCATCAATACAACCTAGGACACTGCATGGATATCACCTGAAAGTCTATGAAAATGGAGATAGAGACAAACCCATTTCCAGTAGAACATATAGGTAGTATCTTAATGATTTAATCATCTTGAATCTTGCACATCTTAAAAAACTTTAACAATGTGTTTAATTATGTTCAATTATATTATAGTTTATTATGTTTAAAATAGTTTTAATATATTTCTGGACACAGGACACTAAGCCATGGATATATACTAAATAAAACTACTATACGAAATAAAAATGTAGAAGACACTGTTATTCCAAGAGGAAAGCAGCTGCTTTTATTTATTCAAACCCTTAATAAATTAAAATTTCAGGCTACCTGGTTATTTTCTTGGAAAAAATTAGCACTTGTAATGAAGCGTTGTTGGAAAAAATAACCAGAGCAGTGACAAATAATAATCAGATTTTTAAAAAAATGTTTTACTGATGTTATTATAATTTCTCCAAAACATTACAGAGAATGCTATTTATTAATCATGTTATTAAGTTATGTTTTTAATCTCAAGTATGTTCATATTAGGAAGAAAATAAAAGAAAAATAAAATAATTTATTTCTCTCTTCTCCCTTTTTAAACAAAATATTTGTATTACCTCAGTTTCACATAAGCTGCAACATACACAAAAAGTATGCAAATTAAAGAAGGGAAATAACTTAATGAGACATCAGTGTTAGAGGTGCATTTTTATGCCCAAGTACACATTTGCTCAACAGATTTAAAGAAGAGAAAGGATCTAGTAACATGTACTGATGCTTCCCTGGCAAGTTAAATGCTACCCCTGCCTTTCATTAAACGCACCCACAGTGGGAGCTGCATTTTGTGGCACTCCTGTTCCCTAACACATTTCTTTTCTTTTTCTGGCAAACATGAATGCAGAGTTTGACATGAATTTTTAAGCAGCTGTCAGGATGAATCAGAGATCCATAAATCAAAGGTATTTAGGCTGCAGTGAATGGATTTTATTCTTCTTTATTTTTTGGCTAAGGAAGCATTTAACATATCAGTGTTCTCTCCTAATGAAACAAGTAAGGCAGAAGTTACAGGCATTTGGGATGATTTAAGTCATTTTAACTTGCTGAAGCATACCTGCCTAATTGAATATTTCTGGGTGGAGTAAACGCATGCTTCGGAAAAAGATCCAAAACACCCTCTCCAAACCCACTCTTTCCATGCAGTACTTGGCTACGGAAATACATTTCAGCAGGTATGCCTTCATGCAAAACCTGCAAACTTCAAGGGTAACCATCTATTCACTAGTGACAGAGGAAATGAAAGACTTTAGTGCAGTAACAGTGGCTTTTGTAGAAGAAATGAACAAGTTTTACACCCAGAAGATGTACATAAATGCTACACCTTGGCTGCAGGCTGTGCTTACAAACCTGTGATATTCTTGATTTTGCTCCAGGAGCTTTCAGAGGTGACACTGAACACAGTCCTCTCTTCTCATTAGCAGTCAGGCCCAGCAGTGGCAGGGCTGCTTCTTTAATGCTTTGTCAGTTTTTGATGGAGACTCTAAAATGTGGTCTTTCTGACGCATTTTAGAATAGGCAGTTTAATTCTTCATGCTTGGCAACAGCTAGAAGTCAGTCAGAGAAGTTAATTGAACTATTTGAATAGAATTTCAATTGGGAGCCATATAGAGTCTTCTCTCCAAGATATCCTATCAAGATATAAATGAAGATTTGTCTTATATTGTAGATCAAAATCAAGCAGTAAAGATTTTGTAAGTGAAAATCCAAACACTATTTTGAATTCAGAAATTGC